AATATACTATGTTTTGCTATCCTTATTGATTCTGATCCTTGGTTGTCAATGGAAAGAGAAAATGGTTAAAAGTGTTAAAATGGTGACTTGGAATGTGAATGGTCTGTCAAATCCTGTGAAGAGAAAGAAATGTTTGAACTATTTAAAATCTCAAAAGATAGATATAGCATTCCTCCAGGAAGTGCATCTAACAGATAAGGAAGCGGATAAACTTAAAGCAATGTGGGTGGGGCAGGTGTTCTACAGCTGTTTTAATAGTCAGAAACGGGGGGTTGCAATTTTGGTGCATAAAAGTATGAATTTTGTATTATTAAATCAACATAAAGATGAAGAGGGAAGATTCATATGTGTTGAAGCAAAAATTAATGGGAGTAGAATAATTCTCTGTAATATATATGCTCCTAACACAGAGGATCCCAATTTTTTTTATGAAATTAATAAGCTTCTGGGGTCATTGGATGGACAAGTTTTGTTAGGGGGGGATTTCAATCAGGTGCAAGATGGTATACTGGATAAGACAACATATCGCAAACGGATTCCTAGGGATAGACAGGCTATTCACCAACTACTGGAAGATCTGGGTCTTGTGGATATATGGAGGATTGTTAATCCAAGAGAAAAGGAATTTACATTATTTTCCCATAAACATAAATCCTATTCAAGGATTGATTATTTTCTGATTTCTAAATGCATGAGTGATTTGTGTGTTGGCTGTAAAATTGGAGCAAGGGCACTTACAGACCACGCAATTGTTACGTTGGATCTTGTAATAGGGGAGGAGCAGGCTAAAAGTAAACGATGGAGGCTTAATGTTTCCCTTTTCCAAGATGCAGGATTTGAGGATATGCTGAAGGAAGATATTAAGTTCTTTTTTCAAATGAACACTGGATCGACAGAAAAATTTAGTACCGTCTGGGATGCTTCTAAAGCTTTTATCAGGGGTAAAATTATTGCATATTCAAGCAGGAAGAAAAGATTGGATGAGGCAAAAATGAGGTTATTAGAATCCCAATTAAAAGACAAAGAAAAGCAGTTGTTATTAAATTACAATGAGTTGCTACCAAAAGAAGTATGTAAATTGAAAATGGATTTTAATGAGTTACTTAACAAAAAGGCTGAATATGCGCTTTTCAGGACCAGGGCAAATTTTTTTGAAAATGGAAATAAAGCTAGTAAACTCTTGGCAAGGCAGTTGAAACAACAAGAGGCTTCTTATGTTATTTCAGGAATTAGAAACAATGGGGGGGGGGGGTAGTAACTAAGACGTCTGAGATCAATCAGTTGTTTCAGATGTATTATACAAATCTTTATTCTACTGACGCCAAGATAGACCTAAGTAATTGGGAAACCTTTTTTTCTGGGCTCGAACTCCCTCAGCTATCACTACAACAAGCTGAGGAACTGGATGCACCGATTACTGAGGGGGAGGTCCGAGCTGCAATTCAGTCTATGAAGGGGGGGAAATCCCCAGGAATAGATGGATTTCCTATTGAATACTATAGGGTTAACATAGATCTTCTGGCGCCTATTCTAACAGAGCTTTATAGGGAGGCAAAATCAGTAGGATGCCTACCTGAAACTTTTTATGAAGCTCTTATATCAGTGATCTTAAAAAAAGATAAAGACCCGTTGGATCCTGGTAGCTTCAGACCTGTGAGTCTGGTGAATGTTGACTGTAAGGTCCTTACAAAAATTTTAGCCATGAGATTAGAAAAACTTTTATCTATATTAATTCATCCTGACCAGGTGGGCTTTGTTAAAGGAAGGTCCTCATCTGATAATATGCGGAGATTACTTCATTTGATGTGGAAAAGTCAGGAGAGCGATGTGCCGGTCGCTGCCTTCTCACTTGATGCTGAGAAGGCATTTGATCGGGTAGAATGGGAGTGTTTATTGAATATTTTGGAAAAATTTGGATTTGGGAGCGGTTTCCTTACATGGGTTAAAGCAATCTATGCAAAGCCTAGGGCAGCTGTAGTTACAAATGGTTATATTTCCCCCTTTTTTAGACAGTATAGGGGTACAAAACAAGGAGACCCTTTGTCCCCATCATTGTTTATATTATTTATGGAGCCATTAGCAATTGCAATAAGAAAGGAGGGAGTGATTATAGGGGTGGAAGCAGGTGGGAGAGAACATAAATTGTTTCTTTATGCAGATGATATTCTTTGTTTGCTTTCAGAGCCGACATCTTCTACACAAGCTCTTCTTGACAAAGTTGATTTATTTTCTCAAATTTCGGGTTATAAAGTTAATTGGCATAAGTCAGAGGCTATGGCAATTTCTAGAGCTTGTTATTCTACCATGGTGACTGCAGGGAATTTTAAATGGCTCTCAACTGGGATGAAGTATTTAGGGGTTAAATTGTGCGCTAATATAATGGATATAATGCACATTAATATGGCTCCTCTCCTTATTAAGATAAAGAATAGTCTGGAGAAATGGAAAGTTCTGAATTTAACATTGTGGGGAAAAATTAATACCATTAAAATGGTGATTGTGCCACAATTTAATTATTTATCAATGATGCTTCCGATTTCAATAAGTGAAGAGTATTATTATCAATATAATCAGATGGTAAAGGTTTATCTATGGAATGGAAAGAAACCAAGGATAGATCAACAAAAAATGTATGTAACAAGAAGGGATGGGGGTCTTGCTTTGCCAAATGTGGAGCTGTATAACATTGCTTTTGAAGTGGCTAAATTAATAAAACATGGTGGTAAAGAGGACACTTATTTAGGATGGGTAGCTATAGAAAAAGAATTTACTGCCCCCTTTTGGCCTTTAGAAGCTTTGTCACAAAAAAGAGCACAAAAGAAGGAAGCTGAGCATAAAGAGAATAATCCAATATTACAGCATTCTAAAAATATCTGGAACAAACTCCACAAATGGTTAAAGATATCCCAGTATAAACAATTATATTCATCAATTTGGTATAACCCAGCAATAAGGGTGGGAAAGGAAGGCATCTGTTGGAATTTGTGGAGAGAGAGCGGTATGAGAAAATTAGAGGATCTAATCGACAACAGAACAGTGACATCTTATCAGGACTTGAGGCTACAATTTAACATGGATAATACAGGTAACTTATGGAGATATTTCCAGATAAGAAGTAGCTTGGACAGGTTGGTTAAGGAGCTGCCTGAAGAGGACAATGTTGTACAACTCTATTTCAAACTGGCAGAAAAGTATCAGTCAGCATCTATGTTTTATAAGATGGCAGCCAAAGTATTATATGGAAATTATGATGGCTTAAGGCATGTTTGGCAGAGGGATTTAAGCATAAGGTTGGATAGAGATTCATGGCAAAGGATAATGTCCAATATGGGATGGTTTACCAGAGAAGCACGGGGAAAGCTGACACATTATAAGATAATCCATAGATATTATTTTACACCGGTTCATCTTTATAAAATGGGTTTAATGAAGAACAATTTATGCTGGAAATGTAAAAGGCAGGAAGGTACTTTTATTCATTCTATGTGGTCATGCTATGTTGTTCAACCTTTTTGGAAAAAAATACTTAATACAATGCAAGAGTGGTTGGGTATACCACTCCCAGAAACTGCTCTACTTTGTTTACTAGGAGACTTGTCGTGTGTACCGAATATATCTACAACGGCAGGGGCCCTAGCTCTTACAGGCTTCATTTCAGCAGCTAGAGTTATACTGCGTAAATGGAAAAGCTCTGAGGCACCTGTTTACAGAGACTGGATAATAACGATGACGGAGATTGCATCTTATGAACTATTAATTGCTAAAATGAAGGGAAAAAAGACTCATATTTTGAAACTTGGAATGAATTTTTGTTTTTTATTGGTAAAAAGATATAAAAGTGGTTGGATAGCTTGTTTGGAAGTTATTATGAATGGTGGTTGTGAGTGGTTTTGAGTTAATCAGTTCTGTATGGGAGGGGTGGGGGGGTTATTTCGGTATTTTGTTTTTGTTTGTATGTAAAAATTTGGAAAACTTAATAAAAAAACTTGAATAATAAAAAAAAATAATCTTCTATGTAAACATTTTATTACCTTCTAGTTTTAATTTGTTTTACAGATTATTGTTACACGTGATTTTATGCTCTTTTAAACATTTATAAATGTGCTGCTTCTTTGTTTTTTACATAGCCAGCCAGAATAGAGCTCACAGCCGCAGTGTGTCTGGTGACCCACGGACCATGACGGAAATTCATCTTCCAGAAAGTCCCAGAGCAGCGTCCACACCCCTGAAAAGACCAAGATGTGAGGTGTCTGCTGTTGATTCCAGCTTCCACCTCAGTGACAGTGCAAGCTCAGTGAACTGTTCAAGGTAAAAAAATTAAAACATTTCAGAATTTTTAAGATATTAACAATTAAATTAGTATGTGATTACATCATGACATCATGACGGAGGCTACTGATTCTGGCCCTGTGACACTTGGTGGAGACGTGTGAGCTGATTCACCTGGAAAATAACTTTTACATTAAATATTTTGTTTTTGCTATCAAAAGTAAATTAACTAATAACATGCATTATTGCAGGACACTCAGCAAAATATGGACTCTACACCATGAGGCAGGCACACGTTAATAACTCTATAAGAGCACATAAGGTGAGCAACACCACATATCTTCACCACATATGGAGTCTAACCAAGATGGCGCCGAGGATCGTCGCCCTGGTGCTAACGTGCGTTGTGTTTTGTTTGTTTTTGTCTGTTAATTGTGTGTCAGCGTGCTCTTACACCCGTGAAGAGCTTCTTAACGTCAGATCATCAACACCGACGGACCTACTTCCAGTTTTTTTTAGTGGGTGTGGCGGATTTGGTCCACTTTTTTATTAAGAAAGTGAGACGCCGTAGAAGAGGTAAACGTGCGGGAGTGCTCGTGTGTCTACGAAGACGTGGCTCACGTACGCCCTTACCTAGGATCTTCCTCTCAAATGTCCGCTCACTTAGTAACAAGACGGATGAACTGGCGTTGCTGATGAGACGGAACAGAGACTTTTCTTCCTCTTCTGTCTTATGCTTCACGGAGACGAGACTCAACGAGCAGACCCCGGATTGCGCGCTCCATTTGGAGGGATTCCAGATCCTCCGCGCCGACAGACAGCGGGTCTTATCCGGAGGAAAGACAAAAGGTGGAGGTGTCTGCTTCTACATCAACAATGCCTGATGTTCGGATGTGACTGTGATCTCCCAGTACTGCTCTCCTTCCCTGGAATTCCTCTTCATGAACTGTAAGCCATTCTACTCCCCACGTGAGTTCGCTTCATTCATTCTGGCAGCTGTTTACATCCCGCCAAGTGCGGAGCAGATCCTAAGTGTGGAACAGACCTTTCCGGACTCTCTAGTTATTATCCTCGGGGACTTTAACAAGGCAAATCTGAGCCAGGAATTGCCTAAGTACAGACAGTTTGTTAAATGCCCCACAAGAGAGCAGTACACGTTGGACCACTGCTACACCACAGTCAGTGGAGCTTATCGAGCCGTGCAGCGAGCTGCTCTCGGCTTCGCAGACCACGCCATGATTCACCTCATCCCCTCATATAGGCAGAGGCTGAAGCTCTCCAAACCTGCAGTGAGAACTTCTAAGAAGTGGACCTGCGAGGCTGTGGAGGAGCTTCTCGTGTGTCTGGACACAACAGACTGGAACGTGTTTGGATCTGCCACAGACAACTTGGATGACTATACAGACACTGTGACGTCATATACAAAATTCTGTGAGGACAGCATTATTCCAACAAAAATCAGGGTCACTTTTAACAACGATAAGCCCTGGTTCACACCCAGACTGAAACAGCTGAGGAGAGAGAAAGAAGCAGCCCACAGAGCCAAGGACAGAGAGAGCTACAAGGGCGCTAAGTACCAGTTCTCAAAAGAGTTGAAGAAGGCGAGATCCCGGTACAATAAGTGTCTAAAGGAGCAGTTCACCAACAATGACTCCGCCTCTGTCTGGAGAGGGCTCAGACAAATCACTAACTACAAGCCTAGAGCCCAACATGCTGCTGACGACCTACAACTGGCTGAACAACTTAACTCCTTTTATGCAAGGTTTGAAATGCAACACCCATCCCCCACACTCCCTACTGCACAGGTTTCTTCAGCCACTCTGGAGTCACATGCCTCCCCCACCACCTTCACCACTGTGAATAGTACAGTCGCCACTGACCATCCCTCCCCCTCCACTGCCATCTCAGTGACAAAAGAGGATGTGCTTAGGGTTTTCCGTAAGCAAAACACACGGAAATTCCCGGGCCCGGACGGTGTCTCCCCCGCAACCCTGAGACACTGCGCAGAGGAACTGTCTCAAATCTTCACGGACATCTTTACCATCTCCTTGGAGTCCTGCCATGTTCCAGCCTGCTTTAAGCTGTCCACCATTGTCCCTGTACCTAAGAAACCCCGTATCACTGGACTGAATGATTACAGGCCTGTGGCGCTGACGTCTGTAGTCATGAAGTCTTTTGAGCGCCTGGTCCTCCCTCATCTCAAGTCCTTCACCTCCCCCCTCCTGGACCCTCTGCAGTTCGCATACAGAGCTAATAGGTCTGTAGACGATGCCATCAACCTGGCCCTCCACTTCATCCTGCAGCACCTGGACTCTCTGGGAACCTACGCTAGGATCCTGTTTGTGGACTTCAGCTCTGCGTTCAACACCATCCTCCCTGCTCTGCTCCAGGACAAGCTCTCCATGCTTAACGTACCCAACTCCACCTGCAGGTGGATCACTGACTTCCTGACGGACCGAAGGCAGTGTGTGCGGCTGGGGAAGAATGTCTCCACCACTCAGACAATTAGCACAGGATCTCCACAGGGCTGTGTACTTTCTCCTCTGCTCTTCTCCCTGTACACAAACTGCTGCACCTCGAGCCATGACTCCGTTAAACTAATCAAGTTTGCGGACGACACCACCCTCATCGGGCTCATCTCTGACGGTGATGAGTCCGCCTACAGGAGGGAGGTGGAACGGCTGGTGTACTGGTGCAGCAGCAACAACCTGGAGCTCAACGCTCAGAAGACAGTGGAGATGATTGTGGACTTCAGGAAAGTCACAGCCCCATCTCTCCCCCTCGTCCTGACGGACACCCCCGTCACCACTGTGGACTCCTTCCGCTTCCTCGGAACCACCATCACACATGACCTTAGGTGGGAGCCATCCATCAGCTCCCTGATCAAAAAGGCCCAGCAGAGGATGTACTTTCTGCGGCAGTTGAAAAAGGCCAAGCTGCCGACCCAGATGATGGTGCAGTTTTACACGGCCATCATTGAGTCCATCCTCACCTCCTCCGTCGCTGTGTGGTACGCTGGAGCCACGGTGAGGGACAAACATAGACTGTAGCACATTGTGCGCTCCGCTGAGAAGGTGATTGGCTGCAGCCTTCCATCTCTCCAGGACCTGTACGTCTCCAGAACTCGGGGGCGTGCAGGCCGGATAGCAGCTGACCCTTCTCACCCGGGACACACACTTTTTGAGCCGCTTCCCTCAGGCAGGAGGTTACGGTCCATCCGGACCAGAACCTCCCGCCATAAGAACAGCTTGTTTCCATCTGCCGTTAGACTTGTGAACAGCTTATAAACACACACCCATGTTCGTCTTCTGTACTCGTCACAACGTCACGTTATCGGCCATATTACCATTACCTGTCTTTTTTTATAGCTGAATGTTTTATGCTAGTTTTATTATATTTTATTCTACTTATTCTATTTTTGAAATTTATTATTCATGTTATATGTAGCACATTAGTACCGAAGCAAGTTCCTAGTTTGTGAACTGCTTGTTCACTGACAATAAACCTTTTCTGATTCTGATATTATTACTGTACACCGTCCTGGATTTGTTTTCTTTCTGCATCTCATCATTAGCCTGGCTGATCACCTGATAACTCCTGTCATCTGGTTGTGACAACATGAGGATGTCCTCACACACCTGTCATCTGGTTATGACAGCATGAGGATGTCCTCACACACCTGTAACCTATCAGCTCATCTGGCAGAATAGAGAGAGAACAGACAACACCACATCTCCTGTTCCTGGAAAGCCTTCAGCCATCCTTCGATGACTGAGAACCTCCATCAGCTCTGTCTCCTTTCTGCCTACAATTATTATAATAAATATTGTGTTTGACAAGTTTTTTGTGCTGCCAAATATCTCATTTTGATTCCAGTTTTGATATATGGATATTTATAAATTACATTGATTATCACATTGTCGCATGTTTAACTAGCTCTATTGTGATTAATTAAACTAGCACCTCACTGTTAAAAGCTCATTTTAATTTCAAGCATGTTTACATATTTATGGACATGAACAAAAACAGTAAATATATCAATTGAGATTTATTTAATTAATATAACAAATAAGGGGGAAAGAGTCATTGAAAGGCACATTCTTCTGGAAGCTCCTGATCCTGACGACACCAGCAGAGGAGACCACCTGCAGACACCAGAGGACCTAGAACCAAGAGAGCAGCTGGTATCAGTAAATAAATAAATCAGGGCAGTTTTAGTGGGCTGAACACATTACAGAATAATTTTCTCATGGGGTATTTTCATAACTTTCAATGCAGCAGACTGTAACTTGAGCCCAGGGCTCCTGGAGAGCTGCTATCCAGCACGTTTCAGTGGTTTTCCTGCTTTAACGGGTTAGATTAGCTGTTAAGCAGCTCAGTTATTTGTTGCTGATTAAAACCAGGTGTGTTGAAGCAGATAAACCTCTAAAACATGCTGAATACTAGCTCTCTAGGGTCGTGGAGCCAAATACTGCAGCTCTAATGCTATGGCTAACGGCTACTTACCATTCAGAGCTGGTTCTGTTGGGTCGGTTCTGCTAGTTTCAGGCAACTCACAAGCTCAAAACAGTAAGGCTCAGGTCCACTTGTCTCCTCCAAATAGACTTGGTCCCTTTCTTCTCGAGTGTCTGGGTAAGGAGGGGGAGAAACGGCCTCCACTTCTAATGACTGCTCAGAGTGAAGGGAGCTAGCATCGTCTAGTTAGCCACAGTGTTGCCAACTGTTTTTGACTGAAAGTAGCTGAAGTTCCCCCCAAAAGTCACTAGATGTCGCCAGATGACGTCACATGCTAATTTACATATTGGTGACGTCATCACGCCACATTAGCGTTCATTTTCCCCATAGCATCTAATATATATATATATATATATATATATATATATATATATATATATATATATATATATATATATATATATAATAGGACTAAAAGGGAGGAAAATAAAACTATGTTATATGTTACAGTTATTAATTAGTATGATTAAAATGGCCCAAATTGCATTGCTATGTACAATAAATTCCAAAAGTATCAATAAAGTGACATTAAGACAGATATGGTGTGGTGATCCAAACAGTTCTGTTGTAGGATATAACTCAGACCTCCTGCTCTCCTCATTCTCACAGACATTTTCCTAAAAAGCTGTTTTTTTACACCTCATAGTATCTCAACTTCTCTGTTGTGTATCCTCTCCATCGTGATATAACGGTGCACCGAGCAAAAGGGAGCGGGTGTCTCATAGTATAACCATCCCTGTGTCTCTGAAGGAAATTCAGATGAGCCACAGAGCTGCGCGTTTAAACGGGATGGTAGTTGAAACTCCCGATGACTGTATTTACCAAATGCAGGAAAAACCAAAGTGTCTGACGGCTGCAGAACCAGAGATGGCAGGTTGACGCCCGCGCCGTCTCTAGTAGATGCGTGAGCCTGCAGCAATATGAAAGCAGCAGACGTAAATCGGCGGTCTCCAGCTCTGCAGCTGTACTCTGTCTTCAGCGAAACTGCCCAGCCGAAAACGGTTTATGATTGGTCAGTCCTCGTGCACATGCACAGATTATCGTTCTCTTTCCTTACTCCTGGAAGAACGGTTCAGAGTGCAAACGGTTTCTTTGTTGCTAATCTGTAGGGAATATCTACATGAAAATTCTACAGAAAGTAGCAACGGGTCCTGAGAAATGTCGCTAAGTTTGTCGCTAGGCGCTTTTTGGAAAAAAATCGTTGAGGGGGGTCAAAAAGTCGTTAGGAACAGTGACAAAGTCACTGAGTTGGCAACACTGGTTAGCCATCGTCTTCGTCACTGCCGCGGCTCCGCCCTCTCGGTCCGCCAGGCAACGCCTACTAATGTTGCAGTTTTTAAAATTGATACGTGGGCGGAGAAGGACTCTGAGGGGGGCATTATCACTTCTTTAATAAAGAAGTCACCTTGTGAGCAGTGAATGCTTCATTTTTGTCAGTCATACAGAAATACTTGATTTCAAGAGGAAAGACAGCTGAAAATGTAGTTATGTAAAGCTTTGACACAACATGGAAATTTAATTAGATATCCAAATTTGAATTTTATCAAATAAAATTTTAGAATAAATTAACACATTTAAGGGAGTAAAAGGGAAAGGGAGATTAACACCTTTCAGCATGTGCATTTCCTGCTTTTTCCTGCAGAGATATTGCTAATTCTGTTGAAGGAAATTCACTGTTTAATGAGAGACAGCTGGTGAAAATGATATGTAAATAAGTAAGAATGCATGTAGACCTACATAATTAAGCAAAACTGAAACACTAATGTGGCAATACGGGCGTGGTCTATGACCTGTTGACGCCAGGTATGGCAATCGGACCTACTCGAGTGCAATTATTTCGAAAAACCATTAAATTTGGGCATGCTCCGGATGACCTATAGTCGTCATTACCATAATCAGAGTAGCCAATTGTTACCAACAACGCCAAAGGAAATAATTAAAGCACGTAGATTCGTTCCACTTAATTGAGACAGCAGACGTGGTTTCAGAAGTTACAATTCATTTATTTAATTTAATTGAAGAAACAGTTTAAAAGACGTTTGAAGAACTGGCCATGTAAAATACCATAAAAATACTAAGATTAATACCCCAAAAGAAAATGAACCAATGAAATGAATAAAAAAAAGGGAATTAATTTAACTCACTACTTAGGTTAATTCATGAAATCGAAGGAGGGTTAACTAAACACGGTTTACTACAAGTTTAAATAAACAAAATAGGGTCTAAACAATAACTTTCAATTAGTTAGACCTTTATCCAAACAAAAGTGTATTCACCAGGCAAGAGTGTCTTACCAGCAGGACTGAGGCTAGTGATGGAGGCAAGTGACTCAGGGCAGAGAAGCCCCAACCAGCAAAAATAATAAAGAAAATATAAAGAATTCACCCCAGGCAGTGAGCATTCATACCAACGTGAGAAAACCCAGCACCACCACACTCGCACACAGGGCCGCCACCTCCGAGGCCACACTCCACACCTCCTGCCTCAGCCTGCACAAAGAAAACAAGATTAAAAACTGTATAAAATCTGTACAATAGGAATTAGCTGTTCTTCCTCCTGGACTCCAGCCACGAGCCAGGGGAACTTCCTCCAACCAGCTAATTTTAAACGGCTGGACCACAGAGGAATCTGTCCTCCTACTGATGACGCCTGAGCAGAAGGGAACTCCCTGCCCGGCAGCAACGGCAGCTTTGTCTACCAAAAGCGAGCGATGACGTCACACCCAACACTGATACAAATGCCCAAGCACAGTTGGAGCAGAGCCGATCACACCAAAAACGCAGCCTGAGGACACAGGCTGGCAACACCAAGACGTTGCGGTATACTGAGACCAGTGTTGCCAGGTCCAAAATCCCACAATGTCGTACAGAGAGGCCTAAATTATCGTTTTTCAGTACAAATTATCGTACATTATAAATTTGATCATAACATTCTATAAACAACTTCTCACTCCAATATAATATAACAAAGAAGGTGTTTTATATTGCCCTGTTTAAACAAACATCTTTAAAACCAGTAATATAATGCCCATAAACGTGCAGTGTGTCGGCACCACTCCGACCTCCACGCATTGACACAGTATGCACATTTGCGCAGTCCTATTTATTTCATTTCCACATAGGTTAAAAGCACGTGACAAAACATCACAGCAGTGGAAAAACTGACCCAATAAATGACAAAGCAGCCTACTCACCTAGTTGCTGATCTCCATCTCCTCATCTGATACACTGTCTGTCGCAGCATCGCCAGCAGTAGATGTGGAGGCTTTTGTGTGCCCCAAACTAACAGCTTGAGCAATTTTTGAATAACTGAAAATGCCTTTAATCACCTGTACTAAGTGGTCTGTGCGTCTCATTGCAATGTTGTGCTCGACTAAAAAGCCAGATAGCTTGATTTCAGCGTTTTCACATCATTTTCAAACGTCTCTTTTTTATTAGTTTGCTGGAGACATTTAAGTATAGATGTCTGGTTTGGCGCGATGCAGTTTACCCTTTCTTTGTGTTTAGCTCCCTTTGCGTGATTCTTGAGAACGGTGATTTCTGATACCATCTGGATGTTGCAGCAATGACAGAAAGCCTCGGTTTCGTTCCCCGTAACAGGTGCAAGCCATCCTTTGAAAATAGGGTCCAAATCCCACGCAGGACGATAAACTTGTGTCCGGTGTTGCTTTGCTTTCCCTTCATCCGTTCCTTCTCTGTTTTTTTCTTTTAAGATTAGAAGCCATTGTCTCGTCGCTCTGTCCTCCTAGCTTAAACTTAACTCGGTCGGCGGCGCTCGCAGGCAAACAGCAAAAACTGGCGGGCCACTGCCACATTATATAACCTTACAGTTTCCCGCGAGAGTAGGCCCTATCGATGTGATTGGGCTATTTATTGTACAGATCCAGAGTCAGTTTTTGTAATAGACACAATAGCATAAACCTGTAAGCACTGAGGTGAAATCTGACTTCAGAACAGTTTAAAATTATGTAATGGACTTGGGAAAGTCACAGCAAAAGACGGCGCTACTAGATGCAATGTGAAATTATCGTACATTTGAGGATTTTTGAAACTATTGATCGTACATCGTACAGAGCCCAAAATTATGGTACAAATACGATAATTATTGTACATCTGGCAACACTGACTGAGACCAGCTGTTTCCTGAACCTACTTCCTCGCCGGAAGAGCTCCCCTTTTATAGCAGCAGCGCCCTCCTACGTACGGAGGGCATACTGCTCTAGACCAATAAAATTGGAGCAGGTATTTCGTACTGCTACACTAATATAAAGTATACTTTTTTTTCTCCCTTTGAATCTGGGAGGGTGGAACCCCAGCTCCAGCTATGGACGAGCCCCCAGGGGGCCCAACTTGATATTTTTTCATGGGGCCCAAAATCTCTGGCAGCCCCCCTGTGTACAGGGTGTTTGTCTTCCTACAAATGCTTGGAAAAAATAGGTTACTTTGTGAAAATTTGGGACATAATATATAATGTAACATATAATATTATTCAATAATTACCAAAAATCGACAGGGGAAATGTGACAACATTGAATTTTTATGATTTGTCCCACCTTAAGCCGTTCAAACTGACTTACAGCGCTGAACTATTGCTCCATGAACCACGTGACCGCGAGTCGGCGAGTTCAAAGCGTGTCGCACGACCTGCCCAGGCTGGTGTGAGCCTCGGGAATAAACCCGGAAATACAAGTTATGTGTTAGCATCACGCCAACGCTGAGTACGTCCTCACACACGCGCTGTAGTATTAAGATTTCGGAAACTCTTTAGTTCTCTACAGTTAAAAACATTATAAACCAGCCAGCAGCAGCAGGTATCGTTACGAGACACGCTCACTGATGCGCTAGGACTTGGAGGGTGTGTGTGTCTGCCGTCGACGCAAAGGTGAGTTCCAGATGTAGGAATGACTTGTTGAGCCTGGAAGTGAAGTTTGTGCTGCATCCTAACTCACACCGCGCTAACAGCTAGCGCGTTAGCTTAGCGCAGCTAGCTAGCTTAGGCTAGGTTTGTCAGCAGGGTCTGGTTTCATATCAACATGTTGGTCTCCTGCGGTTAGAGAACGGACTAGGCATCTTCATGTTGTTTAAGGCATCAGAGTTTTGTCCTAAACTTTCCTGCAGCTGAAGGACGCGTTCAAGGCTTTCAGCTGCACATTACACTCAAACTAAAATACACAAATCACGGTTTCTAGTCGCTTCTCTCCACTTTTAACCACCTCGGTTCTGTTACTACAGGAAGTGGTATTAACTAGTTGGTACTCTGGTAATCTGTTGGTCAGCTCGTTTCCACACAAGTGAGAACTTGTTAGGAGGAAGAATAAAGGTGCTGTTCAGGGGCGCTTCTAGCTTCAGAGGTTTAGGGGTGCTGACCACCCAGAGATCTGGTCAGGCAAGACACATTTCAACATTTTCTACATTTTAACACAATTTCATTCCCACATTTATGAAAGAAAACAAAAACACTAAACTAATTACTAGCCTGGCCCGCCAGACTGGTAATTTCTGTTTAATTCAGCACAGAGAAAGGGTCTGGGAACGCTCCTATTCAAATAGCCCCACCCGTGAGAATTCTAACCGAGCCAATAAGCGCTGAGTAGCGTATAGCTTGGTTTATGCTTGATGCATTCACTTTCCGCTTGGTGATGCGGCTCGCGGCTGGAACGCGCTTCACAACTCGCAGCGTTTATGGTTCGTGCGGCTCGTCTCTGCGGTGAGCCAATATTCTCCCAAACTGTAGGGGGCAGCATGGAGCTCTACAGCATGCATCCAACACTACACCATAGTAGAAGTAGAAATTACTGTTTACAACATGGCATTCCAGCATTTTTAACAGCGTCCTCGTCTTTTCCGACAGTGCGAGCTATTTCTCTCCAAGAATTATTAACAACATGTTGATCACGGTGATCTCTGAGAGCTGAATCATACAAATGTCTGTATTTACCAACCTCTGCCATACTAGTTCTTGCTGGTCTGCCATGTTTTTCCACGTCTGACCGTCCGCGTGGTTAGAAAATTTCGTAGGTGCGCGTTGCGGAAAGTTTGGGCTGTGCGGAGGAGGGGCGTGTTTGTTAAAATGACGCAACTTTTCCGCGCGGAGCCGTGCAGACCTCGCGGACGCGTCAAGAATAAACCAACCTTATGTCACACACAATCCCCTAGAATGCGAGTGAAAAATTGAGGCCAACGCGGAAGTGACAAAAATTTCAGTTCCACCCTCATCCACTGGGGGCTGGTGTCAGAAGCGAGCAAATCCTCATTGACTCCCATGTTAAAAATACCAATTTCACAGCAGAAATAAACATGTTTACAGCCTGGTAGCAAAACATGTTTTAGGTTTAAATGATCTAGTTTACACTCATGACAACTCTGAGGGGGGTGAATTCAGGGGTGGACATAAAACCAACTAAAACCAACCGGCCAGCCGGGCCGGTAAGTCTGATTATTTACCGGCCCTGCCAAGAATCTACCGGCCCCACTGGTCAGCTGCCTAAATGAGTCAAAAGAACAACTGAACCATTTTAAATGTAATAACCTTTATTTTGTACACATTCAAAAACATAACGTATTCAAGTTTGAATTTGTTTGTTCCCTCAACAAAACACGATTTTGTCGTCACATACTTCCGGCATACAACGCAGTACATCACCAACGCCGCTTTGCTGTATTCGAGCCATTGGCTGTGTTCGAGATGAGCCAGTTCTGCGCAGATTAGACCAGCGGTGATCGGCGAGCGGTGCATGCCGGTTAGATTTGTGTCCGAATTGACGCTGACTTGCTCTGACGTCATGCATACGTAGGCAACGATAACCTCGTGAGATCAAGGCGGCCGCAGATTTTGGAGCAAGGCGCTGCAGTTGCTCTCCCTCGGCTGCAAAACCTAGAGGATGACGGGAAACGCCTGGCTCTCACCTGATCTAAGATCTGATTGGTTCATATTTTGATCCAAACATCCGGTGGTAGAACATGAAATGTTAGTAGGTCACATGTATTCTGTAAATCATGTTACGTTGATGATGACAACTATATAGGCCATAAGGAGGAATGTGTTTTGTTTTCTTTTGTCACGTTTCCTATGAACACACTGAAGCTACAGCTGATAACCTTTACTTATTATTACAGTCATGTCTTCATATACAATATATGATATCCACAAGCACGTGAGGATGTGTTTCAGCTGCTAACAGGCACCAGAATTAAAATTGAAAATTGAACAAGTGTGAATGCTAACGCGATATCTTCAGCCATCATGCAGGGAAATCCAAGAGATTTAACTGGCAGAAACAACTGGTTCACCTCTCTCTCTCTCTCTCTCTCTCTCTCTCTCTCTCTCTGTCTCTCTCTCTCTCTCTCTCTCTCTCTCTCTCATACACACACACACACAGGAAAAGAGCTGAGGAAATGGAGGACACCAGTAATTAAAAGAAAAACTACAGCTGAGCCGAGGCGCGCCTCGAATGGGGAGCGTCTGATCTGAACTGAGGAGCGGCGAGCAGCGGCCGGACTTCGTGAGCGATTCGCTTCTCGGCGCTTCCGCGGCCGGTGTGTCCCCGGCGTTAAACGCCGGCTTTCAGCCACTCCCCCTGCTGCTTCCGTGTGTTTTCCAGGCGAGCCGCTACTCAACTCGAACACGGCCATTCTCTGCGCCTCCCGTCTTCTTTAAACTGCCAAGAATCGTTCCACCTACGCACACGCTTCTCTGCTTCATACCGTTTCGAACTGTCTCGCTTCTCCTCACCAGTTTTAAAGCGTTTTGCCGGAGATTTCATCAAGAAATCCCATCCCTGTTGCGGCGCGATCTTCCTGCGTGCTTGTGTGTTTCTAGCGTGGTTCCACTTTGTCTTTAATAGTGAACTTATAGTTCACGTGACTATAACTAGAATCGTGCAGTACGTGCACGAATCGTACAAGTGCAGTCCGTGGCTAGAGGCGCGCAGGTTCACGCGCGCGAAACGAAAACGGCAGCTTCCTACAGGGCGGGGCCATGATGCAGGTGAAAGCCGGTGTGTAAATGACAAATAAAGCTTGGGCGCCACCCGGGCGGTAAGTCGTCAAGTATTTACCGCCCGGCAAGAAAATTTAGCGCCATTGGCGCTCGGGCGCTTTAAAGGTCCACCCCTGGTGAATGTTTTTCTCACTCTTCTAAGTGTATTAAAAGCCTAAAATTCTGTATAATTAATGAGCATCAGACCCACGTGACCACAGAGCTAGCTCCGTGGAAAGGCCTCAGTAGAGCCTCGGTCTGGCCTGGAAACTGTTCCAGGATTTTGAGTCTCTGTGTGTGTGTATTCTTGTTTGGATATTATTTGTGCAATTGTTGGACAAAATGACTTGCTGTGGCATTAATTGCACTAATAGAGCGTCCAAGGAGTCTCCACTTCATTTTTTTCGGTAAGTAAAATTATATTTATGTATTTTAGGTCACTGCCGAGCTGAGCTTAGATGTTAACATGTACTGTTTAACCATGAAATTTAAATGTAATAGGGTAAAACCCAGTGCATTTAACATAATGCTGCACTTTAGAAAATGGGTTGAAATATAACATGTTGGTGGAGCTGGGTTCCCACTATCGGCTTGTGGAGCTCTCGGGAGACCGATGTTTTCCACCGGGTTCTCCCCTCCGCGCAGCTCGGCGCATCTCTGTCTGATCGCGGCTTCTGTCTGCTGCGCGGCTGCCGGCTTGTGGAGCTCTCGGGAGACCTCTGTGGTCCACCCGGTTTTACCCAGCGGTCAGCCCGGCGTATCTCTGACTCAGAAGCTCTGGTGTTGTGCACAGTTAACTCTGGTTGTAGCTAGGTTGCTACCTCCGTTAGCTTAGCTCCCATCTCCGCGTTAGCTTTGGGTTAGCTTCAGGTTAGCTTGTAGCTAGTTTGACCGGGTGTCGTCAGTTGATCCCAGCCTTTCAGCTCATCTCCCATTGGTCCATTCTGTGTTAGTCTTCTTATTGGGCTTCTGTATCACCAGCCTGTATGATTACTGAGGAACCTGAGCAGCTTTAACCCTTCAGTCTTTATTGCAGCTCATCTCCCATTGGTCCAGGATCACTCTGTAGGTTTGGAGGTTCGTGAGCGGCGCGCTCCGGACCTGCGTCAAAGCCCCGCCTCCTAGCGTGATTTGACAGCTGCTTTTTTCATCTCACTATCAGTTTATAAAGGATTCAAAGACGAAATGGGAGACAGACGGTGTCTCAATTAGCAGGACGTGTGAAAAGTAATGTAGATCCATGACTGTCCCTCAGAAAGCAGAAATCTTGGTCACCTTGAAGCAGCATATCAGCCAATCAGGAGGCTCAGAGCCACTGAGCTGAGTCTGCAAAGGCGAGCAAGATCAAACCATTTTTGAGGCGGGGGAGATTTGCTGTATTATTGTTTTTAAAACATAATATTTGGACCCATTGTATGGTTTTTATACATTACTGATGTGTTAAAAATCACGAACACTAGGGCTGAGTGATATGGACCCAAACTTATTTATATGTTTTTGCTGAATTCTGATATACGATATATATCTCAGTATGTTTCCTGCTGTAAAATATTTACAAGGTAACTCACTTCAAGCTGTCTTGAGAAATTATACACATACATCAGTAGATTAAACTCATAAAAATGTATTGATTCTTGTCAAACTTTAACCTTAGTGCCTATTCTCTGGTACAGCGGTCTGTTCGCACACACGCACGCACGCACGCACACACACACACACACACACACAGTTGAGAGCTAGAGGTGTATCAAATGTCCCACAGTTACTTTTTAATTATATATTTATAATTAATGTAAAATTTTTTAAATGTCATCTAGAGGTGGCCATATCGTATATTTCCTATCCAGAGAAAATAAATCTATCATGTTAATCTAAATGTATGATGATGCAACTGCATCTACTGAAGGTCACATGGGTCATGCATCGTGGAGTTATTAGTTATCACGGCAAACATGGCTGGACATTATTGGCTCATATCAGTGATTATACTGTAATGACTCAGTCTCTGGTTGCTCTTTTATCAGTATTATTTTCGGGCTACTGTCGCCGTAACCTCACAAACTCTTAACCGTTTCTATAGAATCGCTCGTAGCGGAGTATTTACTAGCAATGCAAACCACAGTGCAAAAAAAACGAAACAACATTCCTCACCCGTTGAGCTCGCCTTCAAAATAAAACGTTAACCCTATAGTTTACTATTCAAACCCTTACTATATGCTTGAGGTCATTTGGCCACTCTGGCTCTCCGTAGATGTTTCCTCATTACACAGGGGAGGGAAGCAGGATGGAAAAACAGAACTCTGTTGGCGTTGAACGTCCCCAGATAATTAAAAACCAGAACGCCAAATGCAAAGTTTTGAGCAGCACATTTACCTAGAGGCTCTCACATTGAGCAAACTTGTGGGAATACACGTAGTAACTGCTTAGAGACGGAGCAACATGTCGCTAGCATAGTGGCTAATCACCAACATAGCAGTTTGACCTGTTATATTGATATAAAGATATAAAGTCATCTTGTTTAAAAATTGCCAATTTTAAAAATATTGATATATCGCCCAGCCCTAACGAACAGTAAAAATAAATAGATACTTAAGTGGATGTCAAACTTATGGGGTGCTAGAGATGACTTTAGGGGTGCTTCAGCCCCCCCCAGGTACAGGCTAGAAACGCCTCTGGTGCTGCTCCATGTTTCAGGTTGAGTTACGCAGAAACATTGACGGATGTGTGGAAGTTCCCAGGGGTGTAACCAGGGGGGGCTAGGGCTGTTTCTAGCATTGTGGGGGCCCTATACAAGATCTGGTTAGGGTTAGGGTTATTGATGTTTTCAGCACAAGAATAATGAAGCAAAGAAACAGATTCCTGAGTTTATGTTAGTAATTTTATTTATTAGGTGCATCTGACCTGTTCTAGTTTTCTCTGAAATGAGATCAGACCAGTGCTTCTATGGGTTGTCTCCTCTCTGCACTAGAAACATGTACTTTATAATAATGTTCACTGTAATGCATCTTGATGTTCTTAACAATACATTAAATCAAAGATATTGGTCAGTAATGCCAAATATGTAAATTTGTGTTTCAGTCATTTTCATACTGGCTTTAAAATACTTCATTAAGTCTACTAAGCAGGGGTGTAGAAGGTGTTTAACAGGGCCAGCCCGGTAATGATCTTGGAGCAAAATAAAGGGGGCAGAAAGTCACATAAAGGGGGCCAAAAGGAGATGTTTTTCCAGACGCCAAGAA